AAGCAAGAAACTAATAGCAAGAAATTGTGAAGTGCCTTTGTAATTTCAAAAGATCAATGTACAATCTTGTATAGCATTAAATGTAAAGGTGTAGAACTGATATATATGTTGATTTTCTAAACCTCTAAGGAGCATTTTTTTTCCACAACGGCAAACTTTCTAAGTTGAAAAATGTATATTCAAAAATATATATTCATGAAAAATTAATATATATTCAGGAACCCTTTTCTGAAGTCAGCTACTGCATATTTCTTCATATGCTTTGAAAAGTACAAATTTACAAAGGTTTGGTTGGATACTTTTGTCAGCTAACTCCATCTTAAGTTTTTCAACTTGTATTTTTAGTGTTAACAAATACTAACCTTATCATCCAAATACCAAAGGGCTTCTGAATAATGGGGTAAAGAACACACTTTGTTGCTGAAAAGATTATGGTTGAATTGGATCAATTAATTAAAAATAAAGACCACTGTTCTGTGCTTTTAATCTGAGCCAAACTTTACATCATCATCATCATCATCATCATCATCATAAATAAAAACAACAGGCATTTTAAACATAAAGAGCTTAATTAACCTAATTTTCATTCCAATTTGGAAAATGAAGAGAATGAATATGCATGTAGATATTTTTTTTTACTTGAGATTTTCCAGGGTATACTTCTGGTAACTACATGACTGTTGATTAGGGAATCCCATTTGAAGAATGTCTACTGTGTGGAACTGTCAGGAGTTGACTTTTTCTTCTGTATTCTTATTCCTCACTTGTTGTCACGTCCAGCGTGGCAAGGGCAAATAGGTTCCTTTTAAGGGGCGACGCAGATTGAATAAGAGCAAGAGACAAAAGTAAGATTAAGAGTGAGACCAAGGGACTCAGCCAGAGAAGACTGAGTGAGCCCTGAATCGGGTCAGCGTATGGCTTTTATTGAGTAGTTTGTAAAGAAGTGAAACTGCTGTCAATTAATTTGCAACCGTGTGACTTATGTGTGCCTTAAGACCTTTTCCATTAACATTCCCATTGTGTTCCAGCATATCCTATGCCTTCACACTTCCGCCACATAGCCCCAAGACACTTTGTTACTGTGTCCTCCCAGGGGAGATAACTATTATCATTCCAATAGGTCCCAGTCACCTGAGACACTCCCCGAGAGAGCTTTACAGATATCGAGCTTTACAGATATCATTCCATCCGGCCTCAGTTTTCCGAGACACTCTCTCGACTAATGGGTCAGAGGCTAATGTAGGGGGGGTGGTAATGGAATCGGCTATAATGCAACAACTTGTATATTGATTAATTTAACAAATAGTACTCAGAAACTATTATATGCCCACGTGTTGTTCTAGGCACTGAAGTCACAGTTAGAACAAAAGTAGGCAAAGTGCTCTTCTCATGGAGCTTATAGTCTACACTGGGGGGCAGGACTAGGAGAAAACAAACAGAAACTAGATCTCAGATAGTGATAACTTCATTAAGAAAGCGCAGCAGAGTAGAATGCCAGGGTGACTTGGAGGGTAACTTTAGATAAGTGATAAGGAAAGGCCTTTCTAAGGAGGTAACCTGTGCCCCAGAGAGACAAAAGATGGCACCAGCCATATGAAGAGCTGAGGCAACAGCAATTACAAAGACCCTAAAATGGGAAAGAGCTTGGAGAACCCAAAGAACAGGAAGAAGCCAATTAAAACATCATGAATTGGAGGCCAATGTTTTGAGATGAGGCCTGATAGTGAGCAGATGATACATCCCTTCCAAGGACTCAGGCAGCAACTTCAAGAAGTGTTCTGCTTTAGAAGTCAGCAGAGACCCAGCTTGTGGCACAAAGGCCAGTATTTTCTCAGATACCAATATTGTTGGCACCAGAAATCTCCTCTTTCATGTGTCTACATTGTTCCTTAAGTGCTTGTCTCATGAGTCTTCAAATCCTGAGTGACACACCCGGCCTTTAGAGTCTCCCTTGTTCATTTTCTCACTCTTCCAGTGCCTGGTCTCCAACCTGATACTTGTTCTGACCCTCACGGTTAGTGTAGGGCTGGAGTCCACATAACCCTAGGACATGTAACCTCAAGAATAACCTGACTACTCCATTTCCCACCTCCTACTTCCTGCTAATCCTTAATGACTTTTACTGCTTCCTTACCTGACCAGATACTAAAACTGCTATATGCTTGCTAATGTTACTACTTTCCTCAGTATGTATTATATTTTCAATTTTCAAAAATACTTCCATATCCCTTAATATTCTTGATTGCATCAACAATCTCCACAAAGTAGATATATAATTACCATTATTTCATTTTAAAGGTGAGGAAATCCAAAGTCAAATAGTTCGGGTAACCTTCCTACAGTAAGCTCACAATAGGACTGGCCTGAGAAACCAGGAATTCTGCTTTCCCATCTCTAACCTATTTTGGGGGTGAGGGAGATATGGTTTACTGCCGGCATTGGGGTCTTGAAAAAGTAAGTCCACACATGGCCTGCTTATTATTTTTTTAAATTTATTTNGCAGCTCAGCGGCTGCTCAGCTCGGGCTGGGACTCGAACCGCTGTTGCTCAGAGCTCAAACTCTTGAGCGAGCTCTTAACCAACTGAGCCACTCGATGGCCTGCTTATTAAATTGAATTTGAAGACCACACACAAAGGAATTTAGGAATTAAATAGAAAACGCCCCCTACTTCAACTTTTTTCATATTTGTGTATTTGAGTTCACTTTTCTTCATAACTTCATGTCTTTAGACATTTGCAGCCCCATATATACAGTAGAACATAGTGTAGAGATTAGTATAAATATATTACCAATTAAAGAGAAAATAGGGAACAAGTGAGCTGTTTAATTGCTGAGCATATACAGCTGCTCTGGGTTTTCTTCTTTAGCTCTGCCTGCCCCCAAAGATCATGGTTGTACATAATAAGTTATCACTTTGTGGATGTAGGATGGCACATATATCTCTCATTCTAAAAGTTCAATATTGTGATCTCATTTTGAAATAAGTATTTTTCAGATAACCATGTTGTCAAGAATTCAATGTACTATTTTTTTTTTAAATCAGCATTTTCCGATAAATCCAAACAAGAGAGTCTTAGAGGACATGCCAGAAACAATTTTCTTACCAGTTCAATATTAATCAAGTCTCATAAATATTATCCTGAAAATAAATGGGGAAGTGCTAAAAGAAATTAAAAACTCTCAGGTGTCTTTCATGCTTTGAAAGTAGATAAATTACGTTCATTGTAGCTTGTGGTATGTGGTAGTTTGAAGTAGAATGCTTTTCATACCATTCTTTAAAAATCTAAGGCTCTTATTATGATGACATTCTAGCTGTTTCTATTCAAATTCATGCCACTTTTCCAAGAGAACCATTTCGACCTGTTAACTTCTGGCTAAATTTGTGGGAGTTCTTCCACTCACCCCTGTGCATAATATTTTGAGGAAATAGACTAATAGCTATTCACCTAATTGAAATATATCTAAAGCTGTTATACAAAAATAACAATATGCAATTTTGGTGAAAACACAAATTCACTTGGAAGTCAATGCTATTCAGAGCAAACACAGTAAGTTTTGAAGGATGTGCTGCCCCTAGAGTACCATTTAGTGGATTGGAAGCAGCAATTCACAGATGAAGAAAACTTAGCAAAATATAATACAGTTAATCTATGTAAGCCTCAAACTTGCCAAATAGCTGGAAACAAATGACTTACCTTTCCTAGTTTATTTCCAGATAGACATTTAACATTGTGTAAACATCATGTAACCATAGGTTCAACACAAGAACTGGTCTCCCCTCCACTATCCCCACCCTCTACCCTCCAAGTAACTTTGGGGCAGGACAGGAGCAGCTCTGGGGGACCAGTGCATAAATAGGCTGCATTTTGGACTACTGCCTGTCAGATGGTAAGCTTGCTGGGAGAAGGCTCTGTCCTTAATAGGAAAGCTTCTAGATTGTTCAGTTTTATCCATGACGGTCGGGGTGAACTTCATTCAGGGGTGAATATTATACCATTGTGACCACACATCTAAGCGACAGCTGTTATTGGCAATAAAGCTGCCTGCCTCTTTTTTTTAAACATCCATCTGGGAAATACTGGAATCTCTCTCTTTTAAGATATTTTCTTATATGCAAGCATATTTCTCAAGGACGATTTCACAATTCTACTATGTCACTGTCATTATTGTCTTTCAGGAAAAAAGATACCTAATTTTTTTCAAAAAGATGCAGAAATACATTCTACCTCACAAATAATATATAGAAGGCCATTTTCATATATAAATGTAAGCAAACAGCTAATACTTGAATGAAGAGCCATATATATATATATATATATATATATATAATCTTATGTGAAAATGTGATACTTAATAGAGAAATCCAGTTTATAAAATTTATACCTTTCACTTTTCCCTGAAAACTTCAAAGGTATTTTTAAAAAACATGTTAATTGATCCAAAATATAAATAAAATGTTTATACTTTGGTGCAAAATAAATTACATATGTAGATTTCTAGGCTGAAATCACATCTTTTTATTGGGTTGTCAAGAAATGTATGTGTATTTGTGTCCATACGTGTGTAAAGTAATATGCAACTGAGGCTATAGCAAGACAGTGCCAAAATAACTGGCTGAAAAGCAAAAATTTCAATCATGACAGTTTTACTTATTTGTTTCCCCTGATTAGGCTAGTTGATTTGGTTTGGCATTTTGTATGCATTCATTAAATTGTTGTAAACAAAAGCATAGTATTATAATAACATTCAAGCCAATAATTTTTTTACAATACTGAACTATTATATACTCAAAGCAAAATATTTAAAATTTAGACTAAAATCAACTAATTTCATTTCCGAAAAAAAATTGTACTTCCTTTGCAAATGCTTATTATGTAAAAACAGCATTTAGAAAGTATACTTCATATAATTTCAGATATATACCTATATACTCCTATTTGTATCCTATATATAAAGGATATGTGTATGTATACCCATCCCTCCAAATACTCAATCTTACCTGTTTTTGAGCAGCACACTGAAGGTCGTCTTATCGAGTCCCAGGTAATTTGGCAGCAAGTTTGACCAATTCCAGTTCCATTTTGCAATGGCTGACTGTTGACAAATGAGAAGACACTATTGTTAGTTATTAATCAGAGTTAATATGATCAGTAAATTAAAGCTCCAGCTGTGATAGACTAACCAAGAAGGAGGGGGGTCCAGAACAAGGACTTAGACAGATAACATCAATCATGTCCACAGAAGAAGGTTTTCATTCCAATAAGATAGCAATTAATTTATAAATCCATTTGGGAATGTAGTCATTTATAAAAACATAAATCAATTTCTTGAGTCGTTGTTCCTCCAACTGCTAATGGCGTTTGCCCAAGTTTCTCTGAGAGGGTGACTCTTTAAAAAGCAAAGTAAAATAACTGGCAACTTTTTCATTCACCAGTTTATAGTTTTTTCAGTACCCAGAAGTTTCATTAAACAAACATGGAAGGCTACAACTCAAATAATGACACAGCTGAATTAAAGTGTGATATTAGCATTACCTTTTTGGTTAAGAAAATGCTTTGAAGGGGAAATTACAAGCACCTGTAAATGTTAAGTAACATAAATGAGCCTTTTTTTCCTCATTTAATAATTTCACAACTGAGTAAGGAGAAAAATGACTGTGAAAGATAATCTCATACTTCAGAACTGAATTATACATGCCATGTATTTAATTGTGAGGATGGTTTAACAGCGACAATGGTTATTTATGATTTGGAGCAATCTAATGCACAACACAGGAAAGCAGCAAAAAAACCTCAAACTTATACGACATATTTGGTTTTAAAGTAGTATAGATGCTTATACTCCTTAAACTACATGGTTTTGATCATAAGAGTCCAGGCTGATGTTTAAAACCCAATGAGAACTCTGCCCGTCACCTGCTGATTAATGGAGCGCTCCCATCCTGTCACAGAGCAGGGGAATTCTGCCCCAGGTTGTCAGCATTTGAAGGTCTTATTCTACTACAGTATTGATGAATGTAGATGAGGGCTGTAACAGGCATAGTAAAAATATTATCTGCATCCCGAATTAGGCTATTGTTTTAATTTTTATTTTCATCAGAGCTCTAGGTCAAGCAATCCTTCTCTTCTGCCCTGTTAGTTCAAATAGTCTGTCAAGTGGCTTCTCAGAAAAGCCACCAAAAGAATAAATAAAACAAAAGCAACTTTAGATTTCAAATACTTTGGCACAGAGATGATGTTTTTAATATAACTACTAAAACATTCAGCTTAAACAATGGCATAATCTGACATTAAAAAAATGGGTGGCGTTTATCACATTGACTTTATTGGAAACATCCTGACTTTAAGATTGTTAGCAAATTCATTTTAAATTTAGGAATGTATTTAGGGTTATATAAAAAAAGCAAATTTACCCCATGCCACTTAAAATATTAGGAGCTAAATGTTCTATGTATAATTAATTTAAAGCTTTGTTATAATTTACCTCATAAATTCATAAAGGTTCCCGGGTATTTTGTAAGTGTGGGTATTAGGGGATGGGGGTGGGGGCAGCAAGGGAGAGAAAGACTGTTACAAAACGCCTGACTTTTCCGGCCTTCTGTAGACACAGCCAAACAGATGTTCCCTCTGCCCGCGGTGAACTGACCTGGTCAGAAGCTAAATTTCACAGACCAAACATATGAATCAGTTTGACAAATAGAAAGAAGGTAAAATAACTTTTTCAAAGTCAATTTGTGCAGGCCATGCACATCAATACAAGGCCTTTTGCTTCCTAGGAAAATGCTTATGAGTGAATATTCAAACACAAGCCAATTTTTTTCTTACTAGTGTAAAGAAACCACGCATTTAAATTAAATTTACCATCACATACCTGATCTAGCATGTTTTCACTAAACACCTTGTACACATGGAAAGGGTTAAAGGCAGAAGGCTGATCTTCCACACTCCTCAAGGTTGTTTTCAAAGGTCTGATGGGTAATGGCTTTTCCTCTGAACCATTCATAGAAAACAGCTGTTCTTTTAAATACTCCTTCAAGGGGGAAAAAAAAAATTCAAGTTGTTGTGGTGGGAAGCATATATTCTCTAAAAAATAAACTGATCAGTATCCAAATCTACCTTTTCAGCACATTTTCTAGATTACAGTGTATGACTTGCCTTAGGACAAAATACATTTTCAGAAGAAACCTAGCATAGTACAAATCAGCTTTGCAATAAACCCATCAAAAACAAGTTCACCTGAAATATAGATTAGAAAAGCATTCAATGAATTCTCACATAAGGAATGTATGCTTGATATTTCAGAATCTTTTTAATAGGCATTGTCTTGTCATTAGTTCATATGTTAACATATATAGTTACCAAAACGTAACTCAGTACATGATTACTCACAGTACAAGGCTGCTTGGATTTCTTAAGTATAGTTGTGGCCTACTCCATGCTCAGCAGAGCATTAAGTACTCAGATAGTTCAGTATAAGCAGCCTCACCTATAGAATTAATTATAATGCAAGCTCCTAAACTATTTCCATGCTGTGGCTGAAAAATATCAAGTCAATTTACTGCATTATACCTCATTTTCTATCCATAAATAAATCAGGTGAACAATCCTAATCTAATAGGACTCTTTCTGGAAAACAACAAACAAAAATGACTAAAAGTTTCCCATAAACTTTCAAATGATTACTCTTAATAAGCAAGTCATTTAATAAATACTATAAATGTTCTAATTTTTAGTATGTCACAGTGTAATTTTTTCTTCAAAGTTAGGATTAGGACTAGGTTCAGAACATTAGAGCTGAGAAGGACTTGATAAATTTTCTAGAAAACCCTTGTTATGCTAAATCTGATGCACAAATCAGCCTCACTTGGGAGCTTGTTAGAAAAGCAAAATCTCAGGCCCCATCAAATCCGAATCTGACTGTTAAGATTTCCCAGGAGATTGGTAGGCACATGAAAGTTTGAGAAACTCTAGCTCACACTACGTTCAATGGTTGGCTCTGAAAGGTCAGGGGAGTAGCCTGAGGTCACTCAGGGATGAGGGGTATAGTTGGGGCAAGAAGCCATATCTCTGGTCTCATTTCACTGTATTTTTTCTCTCTGCCTCTATAACTTCATGAATAGAGAGTGCCCACTGTATTCATTGTGAAAGGCAAGTTTCAGATCCCAAAACCCTAAAAATCAAAGAAACCACTACTTAAGTAAACAATGATAGTTGCTTAAACTTGCTCATTGTGGATCATATCTCTTTAAAAAAAAATAAATTCTATGGTATCTGACAGACTGATTCTTACTAAATATTACTAGATAATGATAAAGCCAATAGAAAATAATGTTATGCCTAGGTTCATATTTCTGAAAAGAAGAATTTTTTTCTCCATTATAATTTCTAAAAGTAAAATTTTAAAAAGGAATATAATGCTCTTCTTTCGTTAGAAAATCTACTTTGTTTTGGCTACTCATCTTTTTCACTTATTTCCTCTTACATGACTATATTTTGGCTTTTGTTTGTTTCCACAGTTCAAAAAAAGAGAAAGTGCTCTGTTGCAAGTTGTGAACACAATGGTGGTGTTTTCTTCCTTGTTAATTTCTCTGACTTCTCTGCCATATTGACACTGGTCGTTACCTCTTCTTAAAAATCTCAGATTTTCTGTGGCATTGCTTTCACCAGATTGATTGCTGATTTGGTATGTTTCTTTAAGAGAAATATATTTGAATATCCTTTCTTGAACACCTTCCCTGTGCAGCTACATCAAAACTTGTTTCTCTACCCATCATGTCTCTGTTTCTATCCACTGAGGAGCTCCATCATTCTCATGACCTCAACTACCACGACCTCAACTACTTGATGAAGACCACCAGATTTACACTCACAGCCTCTCTCATGTGTGCTCATGGCCAGGATTCCCAAGTACCAATTGGACTTTTATGCTCATACATCTTACCTTTATCTCAAAGACAGATATTTTGAAACTCATTTTCTCTTATAACTTCACTGTCTCTCAATGGCACACCCATTCTTCCCCTCACCCAGGCCTGTACCCGTAAATGCTTCTGTACTATTACATTTTTGAATATTTATTTTGAATAGTAGCACACCTAAAAGTGCTGAAGACTCATTAGTGCTATGCATCAAGGAACAAACATCACAACAGAAATTCACCTACAACATAAGGATACCTCACAGTATAAAAGCAGCCATATATATTATACCAGTCACTTAATCACCCTTGTGTTGTTATTTGGGTTCACTCCCTGTGTTGTTTTAGTAGTCACAAGGCAACATGGTCACTACTTTATTTGATTCTAGACTCTCCTTAAATTATGCCTCTTACTTTGGGGCACTGCATCTCACTGAGCACATCTCACCACCAAGTACTTAGCTGGACATCCCATCTGATGGACATTGCCATAGCAGTAAGTACGTTCAGTTGTAATGAAAGAAAAATCATAACTTTGAACTTAATTGATCAAAATGTGATGGTGCCTCAGCAAAAAATCTTACATACATTAGATCTCAAAATACACCTGTTCAGAACGCCCTCAGAGTTCCATGAGGGGAAGGTGGCCTTGGAGTCCCTAAATATCCAACTTAACTTTTGTTGATTTTGCTTAATGGTGATTACTAAACTTTTTTTTGTTTGTTTTATGGATGTTTTTTAAAAAGGACTAGTCTATCAGTATGTCAACCTATACCAGTCATTGCTGTCCTCAGAACTACTGTAACACCATTTTACTAAGAATCTGACTGAATCTTACTGCGACTTATGTTTCTCAGTAGTCACCAGTTATTTTGGCCAATTTGGGTGGCCAGGTGGACATGTCAATAAAGACCATGTCTTCCCAATGGAGGTCTTTCAGTTAGCCAAGGCCAGCAGCTGGAGTACCGGAGTTTCCCAAATATTGGGTTGTCAGAAAAGTCATGATGCACTTTTGCGACAAAAAACATAGAAAATATACGTTATGACTTTTCCGACAACCCAATAGAAACCCCAAACAATCTGTGAGGGATCGTTAGCAAGAGTGAATAAGTTGTATTACTTTGTAACAATTACATACTGAGCTCTCCTCCCTTAGGTGATCCTTCTTAGGTGGTCATTGAATACACTGTTATATCACCTATTTATTGACTGGTTGACTAGCTCTTGGAAAGCCAGATAACAAGATTTACTTGAAGTAAGTTTCAGATAGATAATAGTGGGAAGCACATTTATATAACACAGTTGTAAAATGCTGTGATAGAATTTAATTCACTCCTTGGAAATTTATGGTTTTTAAGGCCTACTTCATTGAGATAAAACACTATATCTTCACATTATTCATGTTATATAATTTTACTATTCCAAAAAATACATCCATGTGTTTACAAATAAACATAATTCTGTTCACATTAGCTGTTACACTAATTCAGATGCATATGATCAAATTTAAAACGTAATTGAGTAAACTTGTATTGTTTTAAGTAAATAACTGAGATACCTACCTGTTCTTTACTTTTTTTTTTTTTTTCTAAAATAGCAGAAACATGCAAGGTCAGAGGCTTAACCCAGCTGAGAGGTGGACAAGCATGACATTGGTTCTAACCAGTGTCTGTGCATTAATTAATGCATTTTCTTGGGTTAAGCTAGTCGCTCCTGAATACGGTTCAATATTCTCCTGAAGTTTTCGCATTATGTAAGAAATCTCCAACCTCACCAACGCAAGTATGATGTCCACAGGAGAAGAGCTACAACTCTCTTCAGAAAATTCTTCATTTCACAAACACCGGGTTTGAACATCAGCTTAAAAGTCACAAACACACAATTCCCAAACTACACCTCTCGTCTGTACGATTCAGAACTGAACTGAGTTGATGAGCCATGTTATTGTTTAAACCATATAAATAAAACCTACATTGTTTCGGTGAAGCTTCTGTTGTACAAATGCAGAACAGCCGGGGCTAAATAGATTCTATTAATAATGTATTATTGAGTTTGGTATTGACTTTAAGAAGTATTATCACCTCCTTGACTAACCCTTAGCTGCCAGCAGACGCTGCCTCAGGCCAGTACACACCTAATTGCTCGGTAAAAAGGCCGTTTCCCTACCTCATTGAGCCGCATGATGTGATAAATTTGCCTCAGGTACTCGCTGCCACCTGGTTTGTGGCAGATATCCAGGACCATCATGTTTATTTTCTGCTCAGTCAGTTCAAGAGCAATATCTCCTTCTTCTAAGGCTGTACTTTTCTCTATTGTCATAAATGCACTAAATATGAAGAAAGCATATATGTATCAATGATGAAGAACCGTAAAGATGGAAAATAATCAGAGAGATTGAGTGTGGAGAGTTGCTGTAAGTCTCATATTCAAAGCACTCATAAAAACTTCACTCAAATAGATAAGACTTCCCAAACTGCTGCTATTCATATAAACAGTGACTTAGAACTAAGCACCTGAAAGCATTTTTTAAAATTGAATCATTTCTTTTAAAACATTTCTTTATTGCATTTATACTCCTATCTATAAAACATTTTCCCATTACTGCAATTGTTGAAATTGCTATAATCATGGGATGAAAACAAAACATTTCTTTTTAAGAACATGTAAGAAATAATTTGTATTTTCTCTTTGAGGATAAAAAGTATCTTTGATGCCAGAAATAGCTTTGGTTTTCTGTCTTTTGTAGATTCCTCTTTACACCTGTCTTAGAACACATAAAAGACTAATTAAAGTGTCAAAAGAGGGAGCCTATTATGCTAAATATAGGTTGGGTGCTTCCTGGCAGTGTGCTTACCACTGGGTGTTTTACATTGGCCTTTTGACACTTGTTGCCTTTTAAAAATATGCCCCCTCTCCTGTTTCTTCTCCGTAACACATACTTAGCAAAAGTCACTACCCTGATTATTCTACTAGGAAAAAGGCCTATTATCATCACTACACCAGGAAAGTCCAAGTTATACTTATGAAACGTATCTTTCATAGAACTAATATGCTTATTATTGATTTTAAACATTATTTACATAAATAATGTTGGCATAAATTTTTTAAAAGAAATTCTCAAACTATGCCAGTGAAAATTAATCATGATAGTCAACTTACATCATATATATTCCACACTAATTTTCTGATTGCAGTTGCTATTAGGATCAGGTTAAGCTTTGCAATCTAAGTATGTATTCTTAAGAAAACGCATGGTTTTCAACTGTTTCCCAGACTAAATGAAATTTACTGTGGTGTCATCAGCTATATACTGCAGTTCATTACTGAGATTTTGCCATGATTATAAAATTAGTTCTGCTAAGAGTCAGTGCCGCTGACCTGAAGACTGAACTAAATGATACCCAGCTGCTGGACATTAACTTTTATATTGTTTCCACATGTAGCTTCAAAATATCCTTCTTAGAAAAAACAACAAAAAAAACTTTGTGATCATATAAGCCTTGCTAAAAAATAAAGCAAATCCTACTCTTAGAGATTTTCATGAGCTAGAGTAAATCTTGAAACAAACAAACAAAACCATCTTGTTTCAATAAGAGAAGCTTGTAAATATCTTGAAGCTGCATATAAGTTGCAAGCAAAATTTCTTGTCAGGTTTTTTGGAGGCTGACATTGAAAAAGTTGAGGCCCTCTGACAAAGGAGTGCGTCAGTGTCAGCCCCTGAATTGTATCCTTTCCTGTCCATCACTGTGCAGGTGAAGCAAATGATTGGATTCAGTCAATGCTATGATTAATGAGTTCCTCTCTGGATTTGGGACTGCCTATCAATCATGTCATTAGGGAGAATGTGCCCTGAAAGAGGCAGACCTTAGCCAAGGAATAACTGCATTAATCTTAATCTGTATATGCACCCAGCCAGCCAAGTCAGGGTCACCATGATGAAAAACAATAATCTTCAACTCGACAAATTACTTTGCAAAGACAGACATTTCTTTACTTTTTGGGCTGTATGTTCTCCAGAATCTAAGTTGACTGTTTACAGCTTGAGTGTTACTACAAAGTGAAAGTTATTTTAATGAATAGTAATGTTTTCCGGCAGTATGCAAGACAAGCAATGCTTACAGCTGCCACCCTTCCACTGTGGTTATTTTCACAATTTCCATCAAAGTTAAATCTGGATGCAAGTGAAAGAAACCTAGCTAAATGATATTGTGTAGTTCCAAGATAACCTTCATGAAAAATTAAGATTTATTTTATCTTAACTGAAGAACTATTTAGTTTCAATGCTTACATTCTCATACTTAAAAAAAAATATATATATATATGGTGAAGCCAAGGCAACCCTCGACCTACATACAGGCATCATGGTTTAAAATACATTTTCCTCATGGTATAGATCTATGAAATAAATAGTAAATTATCATCAATTTATGAGAAATATGTAGAGGTGGAAGTTTACTTGCATATCAGATAATCAATTTGAAATCAAAATCAAGAAGAAAGATTCCTGTAGCACCCAAATCCTAGAAGAAATTACCTAAAGCGAGTTAAGTGAAATTTAACTCTTTTTCAAATAACTGTAAAAAATAACTTTAAATCTGCATTTTATATTGGTGTTATTTGAGAAATTGAGAAAGACATAGCATTGTGCTAATTACATATTTACTAAATATATATTCAGAATCTTGGAGGGCTGTAAAACATTTTTAAAAATCAGCAATTCTTCATTTTGAATGCATGTTACAACAGATAGTTGATCAGCCATATATTACTAGCTAGACAACCCCCTGTATAGGAGATACCAGATGTGTTGGTGCTGTGCATAAAAAACTTAAACTAAAATCAACTTTTAAGGAAACAATTTTACTTAGGAATTCCTGTATGTAGCCCCAGGTGTATAATGGAGACATACTTTAAACTGATCTTATTGCTAGAGGGGCTTCTAAATCATCAATATCATAAATTTAACTTTGTAATTATAATCAGATCCACTATTTTTACTCTTCTTTTTGCTCTCCCTTTTATAACCACTGTCACATATAATGACATCTGGCCTTAATCATTTAGTCATTGGATTAAAGCCTATAAATTGGTATCAAATGCAAATGTAAAGATTAGGAAGGTCACTGTCAATGTTACTAAGCTCTTGCCTGACTGCTATTGTTATTCCTGTACACAGGACGTCCCAAAAGTAAATTTCTAGAAATCAGTGAAGCGGGACCAGGAAAATCATGATTTCTGACATTTTCCCATTTAGATTAATATAAAGTCTTACAGATTAATATAAAACAATAAAGAGTGTTTGTTATCATAATACTAACCAGTGAGTTCAATGTATTTTAATAGTTTATAAATAAAAAATGCTTACTACTTCTAAGCTTGATGCTAAGAACTTTTATAAGGGATTTGTATTTGCCCATCTGATTCCAAAGTCTGAGCTCTCTGTCACTACCATGTACGAGGAAAATTAACAACTTGTAGTCATTTCAGGCAGAGAGTTATAATAGTATCTGCTAGCAACATGAGTATATTTTTGAAGAACAGAGGACAGTGTGTGTGAGTGGTAAAAAAAAAAAAAAAAAGGCTGGCTTAGTGATCTGTAGACCATATGAACCATAATTCCTTTATCCATATCATGCAATTCTATACTGAAGACTAATTTTAAGACAGAAGGACTCTAGGTACATATTTAAATTCACCAGGGACCCTTAAAAATCTCTGCAATACCACAAATCACTTCGCTCTTGGTGACAAACCTATGAGAAGGCTGACATTTTCATAAAGAAACAGCTGGGTGTGTTTATAGCTTGAGTGTGATATGCCCCAGTTGCCCTCTGGGATTCTTACATTACCAGATGAAAAATGTGTACCTTTTTGACAATCAGGTACACAGAAAGCAATAAAAAGCCTTTTATATCCATTAATTCCTTCTTAATTTAATCTCCATGCCCAATCCATTTATAAAACACTCCAGGCTATCCACTAGATACCTGTTTGCACACTGAAAAGGAGTGAAACCAAATTCTCCTGGGTTTAACTACTACCCTTTTAATCAGAAACCTTAAGATGGTGACAAAATACGTATAATGTTCCAGTGTATCAATGGGGTTCAAATTTTAATAAGACAAGGAATGCCTAACAACCTGGTTTTTAATGGAATACTTATCTTTTCTCAATATTCATCAAAGTTTCCATGAAGTTACCAAAATGACCATTGCTGCCTATCTCACAGTATTTTGTTGTTGTTGTTGTTTATTGGAGATTTTGTTATTGTGAATGTATTTAGTGAAATTCAGTGAAAAGAAAACACAGCTTTACCATTCAGTGCTCAATTTCCTTGCTTTCAGCAATTGGCATTCAATCCAGTTGGGTTTTTGCTGCTCAATGCTCTGTATGACCTTTTGGGTCATTTGATTAGGGCTACTTGTCTGCTCTCCCAAGATGCTTTCCAAATACACAGAGATTAAACTGAGTTTCTCTTTACTCCATCTGTCAAGGGAGGCACCTGTTAAAAGTTCCACAGTGTTTCCATCCTCAAATATCCGACGTATAATTACAATCAAGTTCCAGACAAGCAGGCTAGCTTTCTTCAAGTCAACAAAGTTTTTTGACATTTTTCTCTCAGACAGAAAAAAGAAGTATTTAATTGGGGGAGGCAAACATGCAATCACCGTAGGTAACTTGCTGATTACAATAGATACTGCCTGAGCAGCAAGCCTTGTGAAGCCTGGGGAAGAAAAGAAAGAAAAGGTATGATTAATATTAGCATCTGCATTCCATCACTGTGTTGTTTGGAGTGTTGTGTGAGGATGTTTAACTTTTGTGGAGGAAATTGTTGAGAAGAGCAAGTGCTTGACATATTCTGACAGAACTCTACTGGGGTCCTCTACAGCACTGCCTAAAATTTCCCAAATGTCAAATTTATTTTTTTCTCCCACAAATGAAGATTATAAAATTCAGACTTATTACTTATATTTTTATCTATGAAGACTGCAGGTTTAAAGGGGCCCAGATGTCCTCAACTGACAGATGCAAAGGCACTGCTGCTGGGCCTCTTCGTGGCCTTTACTTCCATAGCCTTTCTCCTGCCCCCTTGGGATCCATGTCAAAACCATTACAGCTCTTGTCAAGACTTGTCAACTCTTCTTTTAGTTCCTCCCAAATGTCACCTCCTCAAAGAGCCTCCCCGCACCATCCCATCGAAAGCACTCACTTCACACTCTTCCTATCCCAGCCCAAGTCCCTCCCTATCACTAGGCTCCATTTTATTGCGTTTATTATAGCACTTAGCATCACCTAATAATGATCTCCTTTATTTGTTCATTATTTGTCACCTTCCAATAAAATATAAGCTCCATGAAGCCACTGCTGTAGCCCCAGAACTTCACATCTCATATATAACAGTTGCTCAATAAATATTTGTTGAATAAATGCGTCAACAAACTGTTTCAGGGTTACCTCTATTCCTCTTCTTTGCTTCTTGGGTCCCACATTAGTTCCACTTCCTACTAACACTTCTGAAAGGTGGGTATTTGCTGAGAAGTCCTTGGCCTATTGAGTGACAATTCTACACACTCTCCCTTGCTTGGTGTTATTTCTCTGAAAGATTTAGTAATGCTGTCTGTCTCTCTCTAGATCAGAGTTTCTCAACTTTGGCACGATTGACATTTTGGGCTGGATAATTCTTTGTTGTGAGAAGCTGTCCTGAGTATTGTTGGACGTTTTAGCAGGATGTCTGGCCTACATGCACAAGATGCCAATAGCATTCTCCGCAGTTGTGGCATCCAAGCACTGCCAAATGTGTCCTGGGGGCAAAATCTTTCCTGAGAATTATTTTCTAGATGATTCCAGAATCTTCAGTCTTGGCCTTTCTCCAATCCTACAACTTCAGCAATCCTACAACTTCAGGTCCCTGTTCTCCTGTCCAACTCATCTTTAACTCAGTACAACTAAAACCAAATTCATTGTTTTCCTCACAGACTGGCTTGGCCCATCTTTTAGGCTTCTGGATATCACTCTCACACGGAATACCCTGTCTCTTCGTGGGTCACCCATCTTCTTCAACTCTTATTTCAAAGTCCTCTCCTCCTATAAATTTATTTGAACATATTATCCATTTGACTATTTTGGTAATTAGGTCCATAATGTGTCATGTTGTATTCATCTTTTGTATTATCATCTATTATGTTATATTGTTATTTACGTCTTCATGAGTATGTGGAAAAAAATCTCATTGCTTCTTGTGTATTCCACAAAGCCAGAGAGTGTTTTAATCCACTATGAACATAAATGAATTTGAATCTTGGAACTAAGTGAGAAATCAAAAGAACATAGTTTTGAGTTCTTCAGTAAAACATTTTTTACTCTTTTTTACCGAACGAAAATAATAAAGCAATGTGAAAGATTTTTCAAAGTATTTGTGACATTTATAGAAGTCACTCTGCTCTAAAAAAGTACAAAGCTCTTGGAAAACTTGTGTAGTCTAGTGACTCCTCAAAAATTCATGACAACTTGACAATCATTTGAAAATTAATTAGAGTAGTCTTCATAAGTTTGTAAACTGGGTCCAACATATATTTGAATGATCTCATAAGACTGCTGTATTAAATGAAATAATAAACGTGAAAGCACCTAGTTTGGTACTTGGTAAACAAAAAAAATAGTTCCTCAATAATATTTTCCTTTTATTCAAATGAATATGTTTAGATCAGGCTTAAAATATAGATAAAGCAAATTAAGCTGATAAAGTGTGAAAAAAATGTATGATTTAGAATACATGAAATGTGATATGCATATTTATGTATTTTTCATTTCTTCCTTGCTATGCTTGTGCTCCTGGATATAATAATATATTTTGTGGATTTTTAAACATGCAAAAGGGAAATTCGCAATGAATGAGGTAAAGACAAAACAATGTCTTAAAATCACTTTTAAAAATTTTATTAATGGTATAAAATGTCAATAATAATTTATTGAGTAGGGATAACATGATTTATATGCTTTACTATTTTAAAAAGCTGGCCTTAACACTTAGTGAAACAGTGTTTCAAAGGCCAGGTTCTAAGTTTAGCTTGCTTCCATACTTGGTTTTAATGGCTGTCTTAGGGGAAAAAGCCACTATGTGAACATATATAGATCCACGTGGAACGAGTGTGTCAGTAACTGTGCTGGTGAAATCATGCTACTTGTTTTTCCATCTCATCCACCAAATAGGCAAAGGTTGTTGTTGAAATTTGACTAAAAATTATTCATCATTCATGAGGTCAATTAGTTATTCTTTCAAACAAATTGAGAAATATTTTGTTTTTGTATTTTTCAGAAAAATGCTCAAGAATCACTTAAGCTCTTATTTGGAATATTTTAAATCATATTAAAAATATATCTAAGTTCGTAAGTGTGATAATTTTATAGATGGTACTGGTTTTTATAAAACTAATATTTCTGGTTTTTATAAAATAAACCATCTTAATGACTTCTGATTGCACTCTGTGTATTTTTGCCGTCAATTTCTTTCTCAACAATCTGCATGTGAATGATGCCATGAATACCTCTGGTGCTTCCTGTTTCCTCTCCAGAATCCAGTTTCAGTTAAAGCAATTACTCCACCAATTTTCCCATAAAGAATTCTCCTTATTTAAAAAGTAATTCACTGCTAAGAAAATATATTCTCTAGTATATCTTTCATTTAATTAATGTCAAAGACACAATACAACTAGTTCTTTGTAGATTTGCTCTTTGAAATACGGGAGCAAATACCTAGGCTGAGCTATATCAGAAACATCTTAACTTTCCATTCAACTCTTTGGTAAATCTCCTACATCGTAGAATTTATTGTAATATTCCTTTCTTTAAATCTTCAGTGTTTTCTATGTAACAGTATTTGCTGACAAAGAAATAAAGAAATGCATTTTAGTTTGTTACCTTCTGTTCTGTCCACGTTCTGTTCTGTCATTTTTACTGTGTCAGGAAGAACAAATGTTCCCTTAAGCTAGTGACTACTTGTCTTTAATAAGTTAGAATCCCCACCCCAAAAGCCTCTGAACATTTATCAGCGTTTTGACAAATTTTGCAAAGTACTGGATTAAATACACTTGACTTAAAACATTACTGGAAACAATTAAAGAGATTTGTCTTCATGTTTTAAATGCTTATTTTTGAAATCTTTTGCTAGTACAGATGACTTTGAACTGTCTTTAGCTAATATCTCAAGGCACAATTCTCACTTAGGAGGAATTCTTATTTTACAGTAATAGATGGGAAGCCATGTTTCAAATGATTTTCCCACACATTTCCTTTTATCTATCTTTTTTCTTTTCCCTTTCTTTTCTTTTCTTCTTTCTTTCTTTCTTTCTTTCTTTTTTTTTCTTTCTTTTTTTCCCAAATCTGATCAGATTATTATAGTTTTTCCTTTTAATATGGCTGAGCAAGAGCTCCTATTAAGACTAGAAATAAGTGTGAGCTTTTTCACTTTGCCCTGTCTGCTCTTCCTTGCCTTCCCAGTATATTTCAAACTGTAGTTGATTGTTGATTTACAGGGATATGCTAAAGCCACTGTGTTCTTTGTGAAGATTAATTTTGTTAAAACTAGATTCTGAAATACAAAGGACAACCTTAATTCATTATTGTACACTAAAAGCTAATGAGTGAGGTGACCCTGTCCATTCCTTACCCAACAATATTGTCTCCAACACACAACTGACTCTCTTACAGACCAAGGGAGAAGACCAGTGACAATCTTCATATAAGGTTTTGGTACAGTTTAATTTCTTTCTTTCTTCACACACCAAAACTTTGTCTTGTACATCTCCTGAGGTTTTGTACCCATCTGGAAACAGTTATACTAGTCTTCTAAAACCAAGAGAAGATATGTACAGTTTATCTCTGGTCTCAACCCCAGTTCCTGGTAGGTAATAGGAATTCACTTAGTAAATATCTATTGAATTAATAAGTGACTAAGGTCTGGCATGTAAATATTACATTTCTTGTATACTGTAGTGAAAATGAACGTTGAGCACTGTCTGTCTAAAAGAGGGCAGAAATGAAGAATAATGGTATTCTCCTATTGTTATATCCACCTGGAATGCACAAAATGCTTTATAAAGTCACTTTTCTTCACCACCTTATTTTATATATTTATGTGTTTTGGCACCCCTTTATTGCTGTCTTGAAGAAGTGTTGTACTTCTACTCTTAGTGATACTTTTATAAAGAATATTATTTAGTAAGGAAAACCATAAAAATTGATATCTACAAAGTAAATACTTTTTGAAATCAGAGGCTCTTTGAAATGTTATGGAAGAATTCCAAAATGCTTTTAGAAAGCAAAATTATTCCTGAAGAGAACGACTTGAAAGCCACAAGCAAAATAGTGCTACTCATATGACATGATATGTTAACAATAGCTCATGCTTCCTGAATTGCTCAAAATCTCTGAAATATACAAAAGCTAGAATGAAGGAGAGATGGGAACAACTCAGACAAGGAAGAACTTAAGTAATGAAAAGCTGACATTTTTCAATTTCAATTAAATGGCCTTACTAGATTCAAAGGCAGTTTAATAGGGCTGGGACCAAATGAAAGCATTACCATGAAAGGTCACAGGGAACTGATTTGAGTTTGTAATATAAGGTCACTGGTTAAGAGCCACATTATTTAGGATCTTCATGGAGAAGAATGAAATAAAAGCTAGTCCCTTCAGTTAACTTTAGTGGGTTCAGCTGGAGTATTTTATTGTTGACAATTTCCTTAGAGTTAGTGAAAAAATATTCTCCTTCAAAGGTGAATATAAAAGGGAAAAGTTTTATTTTAAAAATCCTAAAGAAGATTCATGAATACAGATAGATACATAATATACAGTCAAAGGAATCTTGTGAATTTCTTGGAAAGTAGAAATATCTAGATAGGAAGAAACCATTTAAGAAGAAAAGACTTGATTAATAAAATAAATGAATAACACAGGTGACTGATGGTTCTTAAATACACTTACTTGGTAGATGCACTGAATAAGCACAATGCACTAAATTCAGGACCATAAGTATTAGGGGGAAAATACCCTGTCAGAAAAATACGTAGTTACTAAATGGGGTGCTATTTTTTGCCTAAAAGCTCCACATGTAGGTGTGTTAAGAAGAGAAAAGAAAGTAATAATTAATGGTTGCAGGGGAAAACTTCAAGGAAAGAATAATTAAACTGAGTATCACAGCAATCTTCTTGAGAGTATGAATGTTAGATTACACAATAGATTCAGAGGAAATTAGTCAAAATCATGTAACAAATTTGTGAATACTAACATGAACACAAAATGTCACAGAAAATTCTCAATTGGTAGTTAAATAAAGAAAGTGATGATTTGAGTCATTTTCATTTCTAGTTTCCTTGATCATATGACTCACAATAAAGAAAATTAGGGGTCCCAAATATACATGGTAAAAATAAGACTAATATAGTTTACAAATATATTATCATTTATAGAATTTAATTTAATCTCATATCCTAGAAAATTGTTTCTTCATCAGGGATATGCTCTTACAAAAAAACCCCAAATATACCTTTGCTTGATTCTTTCTTTTTGATTTCTTTTGGAATATAATTCCATTCTTTTGGAATGCTGTCACGCAAATGTTCAGGAACACTGTGCTTGTTTAGGTTTGTCTCAAAGTTTCTCCCAGAGTTCATCACAGATATGATCTGCTGTACAATGTCCTTCACAGCATCAGTCAGTGCCAGTCTCAAGCATCGGATGATGTCTAGCTCGGACTCCATGCATGTTGACACTTTAAAATCAGACAGCATATTACATTTAGCAGAATCTGGCAATATTTTGTGCCTTGTTCAATTGGGAATTCAGTCTCTCAATAATCTAGTTTAAAGCTATAGGAAAGGAAAGCTGCTTTTAACCTAGAAATCATATAATTGATAAATAGTTCATAAAGATTTGAAAAAGAATTCTTTTCATCTTGGTAATAAAAGGAATAGAAATTAAAATTATAGCGTATAACAATATTTGCTGGTAGTTTGAATTTCACTGGTGGGAATATAAATTGTGTGATCTACTTAGATGACAACTTGGCAATAATATCAAAAGCTTTAACATTTTACTTACCTGTTAATCCACTTATTCCTTCTCTAGGACTTTATTCTAAGAAATTAATTATGGTTATATAAAGGATATAGTGAAAAATGGGAAATAATCTAAATGTCCAGCAATTGGCGATTTGTTTAATTAGCCAAAGTAAATCCATCTATATAATAAAATTATGTATTGTTTAGTATAAAAATAAAAGCAGGTTAGAAAGAGTATGACATACTATTTTTACTTAAAAATAAGTATCTACATACACATATAAAAGAATTTTAAAATATACTCTACGATGTCAATGGTGATTTTCCTCTTCCTTTATTTACTTCTTCTTCTTTTACTATTACTTCTTTCCTTCCCTCCCTCTCTTCCTCTACTGCATTTCTTCCTTCCTTATTATGAATATATATATATATATATATATATATATATATACACATATATATATATACACATATATATATATCCACCATGAATATATATTATTTGTGTGATAAATGTAATAAAAATTTTAAAATATAACTGGAAAGTCCTGGGACCATCACTTGAATCAATACAGAAAAACACCTGTATCCTTTTTTCTTCCTCAGATGTAGGGGTGATATTTCTCAAATTACTCAAACCATTATTAAAATGACTATGGTGAAGAGGATCTTGGTAATATCAGCTATTGAGAGTTTAATTTTTTAACATGGCATAATCATCAGGTAAGTTGTTGCATTTGTGGGCATGATGGACGACATAGTTGTCTGTCTTTTTAATGATGTTTCATTACTTTAATTTACTGAAAGACATAAAAAAGCTTTATTCCTGTATCAATAAATAATATTCATTTTGGTTCAACTTTTTGGAGTCATGAATTAAATCACCTCAGGTATCTAAAAATCCTAGAAAGCCAGAAATTCCCCTATCTCCTTTTGTTAAAAAGGTATGTTTATTCCTTTTTAAAATAAAATCAAGGTATTGAAAATGATAGAGAAAATAACAGATCTATCTCAAAGAATTATTTAAAATTTATATGAATTAATTTGTATAAAATAATTGGCACACAGTAGTAGGCACTGTGGATATATTTGCTATTATTACCTAAGATTAGAGTTTTCTGTAAAAATTACAATGTTATAGTGTAGGGCTGCCCAGTAGTCTCTTGATACAAGGTTCTGAAACATCTTGAGCACTAGATAATATAGACAGGATTAAGCAATAGCCACAGACACCTGTGGTAGGGTCAAGATACAGATAAAGAAAGAAAAGAAGAAATGAGAGAAAAGAGAATTGAGAAAAGGTAGTAAGTGGCAAGACCTTCTCACTTCTGACTCTGCATATAAAGATCCTGGAAGTCGCCAAATAAAAAGCTGAGCAGATGAAAAAAACCAACATCTCTTAGAACTTTAAAAGAGGTGAAGACCCAAGGCAAATTGGAGATACAGACAGGCAAATACAGGGAGCCACAGCTTCGTGGAGCAGAGACCCACAAGTAGAAACTACCATGGGTAACAGTGCCAAGGTAGAAAAATCTGAACTGTAGTTGATGAATTGCTGAAGGCTGAATGCAAACAAGTCTGAGGGTTAAAATTCCAGAAAGACCCTGTTATGAGGGGACTGCCATACTTTTATGAGTTTCACCTCCAGGAACTCAGCTGGTTTCCCACAGTAAATATCAGAGAAAAATCCACTAGTGCTTCCAGCAAGGAGAGGGGGAAAGAAACATTTTTAAATAGGCCAGAGCACTCTGTTTTCTTAAGGTCTGCCCTCAGAAAAAACTATTAAAACAGAGCCTAACCCACTGGGCTTATCAGAGCCTAACTGACCTGGGTGAAGGGAAATACCCAACACAATACCCACTCTTGCCATTCTGTACCACCTAAGAGGGTAGAATAAAACTGAAAAACATGTGTGCAGTACACCTTCCAGAGGAGCAGGCTCACTATAAAACTGAGACCTAATCACAGGACTATAGATAGCTTCCCCTCCCCCACACCTCTCCACCACATTACCAAAGGCCTATTTAGACCAGTTTCTTTTACCCAGTATATCATGTCCAGTTTTCAAAAAAAACTTATAAGACATACTAAAAGGCAGAAAACACAACTTGAAAAGGCAGAGCAAGCATCAGAAATAGACATAGGAAAGATGTTAGTAATATCAGACCAGGAATCTAACAGCTATGGTTAATATGTTAAATGCTCTAATAAATGACATAGACAGCATGCAAGAACAAGTTGGCAATGTAAGCAGAGAGACAGAAGTCCTAACAAAGAGCGAGAAAGAAATACTAGCGATCAAAAGCATTGCAACAAAAATGAAGAATGCCTTTCATGGGCTTATTAGTAAACTGGACATGGCTCAGAAAAGAATCTCTGAACTTGAGCATATCTCAGTAGAAACTCCAAAACTGAAAAACAAAGAGAGCCAAGACAACAAACAAACAAACAAAGAACAGAACAGAATATTTAAGGACTGTGGGACAACTACAGAAGGTATAACATGCATGAATTGGAAATATAGGAGAAGAAAAACAGAAAGAAACAAAATAAATATTTAAAACAATAGTAATCGAGAATTTCCCCCAAATTAATGTAAAACACAAACCACAGATCCAAAAAGCATAGAGGATATCAAGCAGAATAAATACTTAATAAACAAACAAACCCAAAAACAAAAGAACACAAAACTATACCTAAGCATATTGTATTTAATCTATTGAAAATCAAATATTGAAAAAAAATTTATGAAAGAAGCCATAGGGAAAAAGACAATTTTCCTTTAGAAGAACAAAGATAAGAATTGCATCTGACTTCTCAGCAACCATGCTAGTAAAAAAAGGGTGAAATGAAATATTTGGAGAGAGAGAGACAGAGAGAGAGAACACCAGCCTAGAATTCTATACCTTGCAAAATTATGCTTCAAAAGTAAAGAAGAAATAAAGACTTTCTCAGACAAACAAAAATTGAAGGGATTTATTGCCAGTAGACTTCCCTTGTAAGAAATGTTAAAAGAAGTTATTTAAAGAGAAGATAATATAAGTTAGAAACTCAGATCTGCATACAGTAAGGAAGAGCATTGAAGAAGAAATAAGTGAAGGTAAAATAAAAAAGTTTTATTTTTCTTATTTGTAAGTGATCCAACAGATAAGTTTTTTAAAAATATTATCAACAATGTGTTCATTTATGCATACATCTTTAATACATATGCACACATACATACTTATACATGTTTATATATAAGTGAAATGAATGACAGCAATGATACAAGGAATGGGAGGAAAGAATTAGGATTGTTGTGTTATTATAAGGTATTCACACAACCTATGAAGTGTTATAATGTTCTTTGAAAGTGGACTTGGATTAGTTTCAAACTCTCTCTATATATGTTGCAAATTCTAGGGCAATTGCTTAAAAAAATAAAAAAAAGTATAACTGGTATGCTAAAAAATGAGAGAAAATAGAACCCTATAAAATGCTCAGTTTAAACCAACAAAGGCAGAAGAAGAGTGGAGTGGAAGCCAAAAGCAGAAACAAAGAACAAAGGCAATAAATAGAAAACAATAACAAATATGGTAGATATTAATCTAACTATATAAATAATCACTTTGAGCATCAATGGACTAAAAGCACAAATTAAAAGACAGAGGTTGACCAATGTGTACCAAAAACCCAGACCATCTATATGTTGTTTACAAGAAACCCACTTTAAATGTAATGACACATATATATTACAAGTAAATTGATGGAAAAAAGTATTTCATGTTAACACAAATCAAAAGAAAGCAAAAGAAGCTATGTGAATTTCAGATAAACAGACTTCAAAGCAAGTGAAGTTATCAGGGATAAAGGAAGGTATTACATAAAGATAAATGGGGTCATTTCTCCAAGAAGACATAACAATTCTTAATATGTACATACCTAACAACAGAGTGTCAAACTATGTGAGGCAAAAACTGATAGAACTGCAAGAAAAAATGGATGAATCTACTACCATAGTTGGAGACTTTAGCACCCCTCTATCAGAGAGAGGTCCAGCAAGTAGAAAATCTGTAAGGACAAAGTTGAGCTCAACACCATCAATCAACTGGATATAATTGACATCTATAGATTACTTCATCTAACAAAAGTAGAATACATATTCTTCTCAAGCTTACATTGAACATTCACTAAGATAAACCACATTCTGGGCAATAAAACATACTTAAATTGAAAAAAGAATAGAAATCACACAATGTCTGTTCTGACCACAAAGGGATTACACTAGAAATCAATAACAGAAAGATAACTGGAAAATGTGGTTATTGAACAACACACTTTTAGATAACACATGGGTAAAAGTAGACATCTCAAGGGAAACTTAAAAATACTTTGAACTAAATGAAAATGAAAACACAACTTATCAATATTTGTGGGATGAAGCAAAGGCAGTCCTTAGAGAGAAATTTATAGCATGGAATGCATATACTAGAAAAGAAGAAATCAACAGTCTAAGTTTCCACCTTAGGAAACTAGAAAAATAAGAACAAATTAAATCCAAACTAGGCAGAAGAAAAAAGTAATAAGAATTAGAGCAAATATCAATGAAACTAAAATGAGGAAATCAATAGAAAAAAATCAACAAAACTTAAAGTCGGTTCTTTGAAAAGATCAGTAGAATCAATAAGCCTCTAACCAGGCTAACTGAGAAAAAAGAGAGAGTATACAAATG